GGGAGGATTTGGGGGTCTCAGGGGGGTTTTGGGGGGTCTCAGGGAGGGTTTTTGGGGGTACTTAGGGGTCCCAGGGGTGTTTTGGGGTGCCCCAGGGGATTTTGGGGGTGCCCCAGGGGATTTTGGGGTGCCCCAGGGGGATTTTGGGGGTCTCAGGGGGTCTCTCACACTGCCTGTTGCGCCTTTCTGCATGCGCAGCTTGAGCTTCTCCTGGGGGTCAATTTGGGCTGCAAAAACGTGGGAATGGGGTCAGGAACGGGAAAAGGGGGAGGGGAGGGCAGGGAGGGGACAGGGGGAGGGGAGACGAGGACACGGAACAGCCACGGCCTGGAGACCCCCCAAACCCCCCATGGGAGACCCCCAAAGATTTGGGGGGAAACGGAGGGGAGACATCTCAGAGACCCCAAAATCCCCCAAGAGACCCCCCAAAATCCCCCAGAGACCCCCACCCACCCCAGAGTCATTCCAGGGGGTCCCTGTCCCCATTCCAAGGGGTCCCTGTTCCCATTCCAGAGGGTCCCTGCCCCCATTCCAGGGGTCCCTGTTCCCATTCCAGGGGTCCCTCTTCCCATTCCAGGGGCTGTTCCCATTCCAGAGGGTCCCTGTCCCCATTCCCAGGTCTGTCCCCATCCCAGAGGGTCCCTGTTCCCATTCCAGAGGGTCCCTGTTCCCATTCCAGAGGGTCCCTGTTCCCATTCCAGAGGGTGTCTGTCCCCATCCCAGGGGTCCCTGTCCCCATTCCAGAGGGTCCCTGTTCCCATTCCAGAGGGTCCCTGTCCCCATTCCCAGGGCTGTTCCCAGAGACCCCCCCAGTGCCACCCCAGTGTCCCAGGGACCCCAAACGTCCCCCCAGGGCCCCCCAATGTCCCCCCGGGCGCAGAGGGATCCCCCAGTGCCACCCCAGTGACCCCCAGTGTCCCCCCAGGGACCCCCAGTGTCACCCCAGGGACCCCCAGTGTCACCCCAGGGACCCCCCAGTGCCACCCCAGGGACCCCCCAGTGCCACCCCAGTGTCCCAGGGCCCCCCCAGTGTCACCCCAGGGCCCCCAATGTCACCCCAGGGACCCCCCCTGGTGACAGAGGGACCCCCCAGTGCCACCCCAGTGTCCCAGGGACCCCCTCAATGCCCCCCAGGGACACCCAATGTCACCCCAATGTCCCAGGGACCCCCAATGTCCCCCCAATGTCCCCCCAGGGACTCTCCAATGTCACCCCAATGCCCCCTCAGTGTCCAGGACCCCCAATGTCCCAGGGACTCCCCAATGTCACCCCAATGCTCCCTCAGTGTCCCAGGGACCCCCAATGTCCCCCCAGAGTCCCCCCAGAGTCCCCCCAGTGTCACCCCAATGTCCCAGGGACCCCCAGTGTCACCCCAGGGACCCCCAGAGCCCCCCCAGGGACCCAGGGACCCCCAATGTCCCCCCAGGGACCCCCCAGAGCCCCCCCAAGACCTGGCGGCGCTCCCTGAATCTGCAGAGGGGACGTCCCGTTCTTACTGACTTTGGCAGCTCCCGCCTCGGGACCCGCAGCCACCTCCGGCCTGGGAACAGCGGGAATGACGGGGAAATTGGGAATGGGGAATAATGGGGGAATTGGGAATGGGGAATGACGGGGGAATGGGAATAATGGGGAAATTGGGAATGGGGAATAATGGGGGAATTGGGAATAATGGGGGAATAACGGGGGAATGGGAATAACAGGGAATTGGGAATGGGGAATAACGGGGGAATTGGGAATAACAGGGAATGGGGAATGGGGAATAACAGGGGAATTGGGAATAATGGGGGAATGGGGAATAACGGGGGAATGGGAATAACGGGGAAATTGGGAATGGGGAATAACGAGGGAAGGGGGAATAATGGGGAAATTGGGAATGGGGAATAACGGGGAATGGGGAATAACAGGGGAATGGGAATAACGGGGGAATTGGGAATGGGGAATAACAGGGAAAATTGGGAATAGGGAATAACGGAATGGGGAATAATGGGGGAAATTGGGAATAGGGAATAACAGGGGAATGGGGAATAACAGGAGAATGGGGAATGGAAAAGGGGAAATAATAGGGGAAACAGGGGATGGGGAAGTGGGAATGGGGACAGGGAAAATGTGGAATAGGGGAGGGAGAAAATAGGGAATGGGGATGGAGAAAATGGGAATGGGGAAAATGTGGAATAGGGAAGAGAGAAAATAGGGAATGGGGATGGGGAAAATGGGAATGGGGATGGGGAAAATGTGGAATAGGGAAGAGAGAAAATAGGGAATGGGGATGGGGAAAATAGGGAATGGTAATGGGGAAAATGGGAAAATAGGGAATGGGAACAGGGAAAATGGGGGAAACAGGGAATGAGGATGGGGAAAATCTCCTTTCCCAAATCCCTGTTCCCCCTCCCCATTCCCAAATCCCTGTTTTCCCTGCCCATTCCCCAATCCCTGTTCCCCTCCCATTCCCAATCCCAATCTCCTTTCCCCAAATCCGTTTCCCCTCCCCATTCCCAAATCCCTGTCCCCCCTCCCCATTCCCAATACCCCCATTCCCCAATCCCCCACCCCTGTTTTCCCTGCCCATTCCCAATCCCTGTTTCCCTCCCCGTTCCCCAATCCCCCATTCCCCCATCCCAGTTTTCCCTGCCCATTCTCAATCCCTGTGTCCCCCTCTTCCATTCCCCATCCCTGTTTTCCCTGCCCATTCCCAATCCCTGTTTTCCCCCTTCCATTCCCAATCCCTGTTTTCCCTGCCCATTCCCAATCCCTGTTTTCCCCCCTTCCATTCCCAATCCCTGTTTACTCTGCCCATTCCCAATCCCTGTGTCCCCCCCTTCCATTCCCAATCCCTGTTTCCCTGCCCATTCCCCAATCCCCCATTCCCAATCCCTGTGTGCCCCCCTTCCATTCCCAATCCCCCCCTTCCCAATCCCTGTTTTCCCCCCCCATTCCTAATCCCCCCGTTCCCAATCCCCCATTCCCAATCCCAGTTTTCCCCCCCCATTCCCCATCCCAGTTCCCCCCTCACTTTTTCAGCTTGTCTCCGACTCCGGGCGAGGCCGGGGGGGGCCTGGGGGGTTTCTCCCGGCCGGGGCTGACGGATCGGGATCGGGGACCGGGATCGGGATCGGCTCCGGGATCGGGACCGGGATCGGCTCCGGGACTCGGCCGAGCTGCGGCTGCTCCGGGAGCTGCTCCAGCGCCGGCAGCTCCGGGAACGGCGGCCCCCGCGCCGGGAGCTGCGGGAACGGCTCCTGGGATGGGGAAAATGGGATAAAATGGGATAAAATGGGATTGGGAACTGCAGGAACGGCGGCCCCCGCGCCGGGAGCTGCGGGAACGGCTCCTGGGATGGGGAAAATGGGATAAAATGGGATAAAATGGGATTGGGAACTGCAGGAACGGCGGCCCCCGTGCCGGGAGCTCCGGGAACGGCTCCTGGACACGGGAAAAATGGGATAAAATGGGATAAAATGGGATTGGGAACTGCGGGAACGGCGGCCCCCGCGCCAGGAGCTCCAGGAACGGCTCCTGGGATGGGATAAAATGGGATAAAATGGGATTGGGAACTGCGGGAACGGCTCCTGGGATGGGATAAAATGGGATTGGGAACTGCGGGAACGGCTCCTGGGATGGGATAAAATGGGATTGGGAACTGCGGGAACGGCAGCCCCTGCGCCGGGAGCTCTGGGAACGGCTCCTGGACACGGGAAAAATGGGATTGGAAACTGTGGGAACAACAGAGAAAAGTATGGAAAGGCTGGGAAAGGCAAGGAAAGGCAGAGGAATAAAAAATAAAGGGAAAAGCTGGGAAAGGCTGGGAAATGAAGGGAAAGGCTGGGAAAGGCTGGGAAAGGCTGGGAAGGGCAGGGAAATGCTGGGAAAGGCTGGGAAGGGCTGGGAAGGGCTTGGAAAGGCAGGGAAAGGCAGGGAAAGGCAGGGAAAGGCAGGGAAAGGCAGGGAAAGGCAGGGAAAGGCAGGGAAAGCCAGGAAGCAAAGAGAAAGGCAAGGAAAGGCCAGGAAACGAAGGGAAAGGCAGGGAAAGGCAAGGAAAGGCCTGGAAATGCCAGGAAAGGAAGGGAAAGGCCGGGAAACAAAGGGAAATGCTGGGAAAGGCTGGGAAAAGTATGGAAAGGCTGAGAAGGGCAGGGAAATGCTGGGAAAGGCAGGGAAAGGCAGGGAAAGGCAGGGAAAGGCAGGGAAAGGCAGGGAAAGGCAGGGAAAGCCAGGAAGCAAAGAGAAAGGCAAGGAAAGGCCAGGAAAGGAAGGGAAAGGCAGGGAAAGGCAGGGAAAGGCTGGGAAATGAAGGGAAAGGCAGGGAAAGGAAGGGAAATGCCTGGAAATGCCTGGAAAAGCCAGGAAAAGCCGTAGTGTGGGGACAGTGGGAGGGCACTCCTGACCTGGAGCGGCGGCGGGAGCCGTAGCGATGAGCCCGCTCCGGGGAGAAGGAGCGGGAGCGGCGGCGGCCGTCGCGGGATCCCCCTCCGGAGCAGCGGCGGGAGCGGGAGCGGGAGCGGCGCCGGGAGCTGCGGGAATAGCGGCGGGAGCAGCCGGAGCCGGAGCCGCCCCCGCGGCGGGAGCGGCAGCTCGAGCGCGACGACGACGACGACGACGACGGGGACGACGAGGAGGACGAGGAGGACGGAGAGGAGCGGCGCCTGGAACGGGGAAAAACGGGATCAGCCCCCGGGATTGGGAATGCTGGGGGAAGGGGAGGGGTGGGGGGGAATCCCGGGGGTTTTATCCCGGGGAAAGGGGGGAAGGAGGAGGGTGGAGCGGCAGGGAGAGGAGGGAAGAGAGGGAAGGAGGTGGGAAAAGAGGGAAAAAGCACTGGAGTGCACTCAAATTCCAGGGAAATGGGGAAAAAGGCAGGAAAGTAGGGAAAGAGGCAGGAAAAGAGGGAAAGAGGCAGGAAAAGAGGGAAAGAGGCAGGAAAACAAGGAAGGAGGGAGGGAAAGAGAGAGGAAAAGAGAAAAGGAGGCAGGAAAAGAGGGAAGGAGGCGGGAAAAGAGGGAAGGAGGTGGGAAAAGAGGGAAGGAGGGAGGAAAATTCCCACTCCCACATTCCCACCCTCTGGAACTCCACATTCCCACCCAAACATTCCCACCCTCTGGAACTCCACACTCCCACCCCCCACATTCCCACCCTCTGGAACTCCACATTCCCACCCCCACATTCCCACCCTCTGGAACTCCACACTCCCACCCCCACATTCCCACCCTCTGGAATAGCCCCCTCAGCATTCCCGTCCCACCAGGGATCAGGGAAGGAAGGGTGGGGAAAAGCCTCCCCTGCATCCCAGGGAATGCCAGGATTGGGGAACGCTGGGATCGGGGAACGCCGGGATTGGGGAAAAGCGGGATTGGGGAATGCACGCCAGGATCTGGGAATGCCGGGATCTGGGAACACCGGGATTGGGACATGCCAGGATTGGGGGAAAAGCGGGATTGGGGACTGCCAGGATCTGGGAATGCTGGGATCGGGGAATGCCTGCTGGGATTTGGGAACGCTGAGATCTGGGACTGCCGGGATCTGGGCACTCTGGGATTGGGGACAGGGATCTGGGATTGCCAGGATCTGGGACTGCTGGGATCTGTGATTGCCGGGATCTGGGAATGCTGGGATCTGCGATTGCCGGGATCTGGGAATGCCCGTCGGGATCTGGGAATGCCAGGATCTGGGAATGCCTGTCGGGATCTGGGAATGCCTGCTGGGATCTGGGAACGCCCACTGGGATCTGGGAACGCCCACTGGGATCTGGGATTGCTGGGATCTGCGATTGCCGGGATCTGGGAACGCCGGGATCTGGGAATGCCCTCTGGGATGTGGGAATGCCGGGATCTGGGACTGCCGGGATCTGGGAAGGCACTCTGGGATCTGGGAACATCGGGATGTGGGAACGCCGGGATGTGGGAACACCCTCCGGGATGTGGGAATGCCCTCCAGGATGTGGGAGTGCCCTCCAGGATGTGGGAATGCCCTCCGGAACGTGGGAATGCCCTCTGGGATGTGGGAATGCCCTCCGGGCTGTGGGAATGCCCTCTGGGCTGTGGGAATGCCCTCTGGGATGTGGGAATGCCCTCTGGGATGTGGGCACGCTGGGATGTGGGAATGCCCTCTGGGACGCGGGAATGCCCTCTGGGATGTGGGAACGCCAGGATCTGGGAGTGCCCTCTGGGATGTGGGAACGCCCTCTGGGACGTGGGCACACCAGGATCAGGAACGCTGGGATGTGGGAATGCCCTCTGGGATGTGGGAACGCTGGGATGTGAAAACACTGGGACCTGGGACTGCTGAGATCTGGGATTGCCGGGATCTGGGATTGCTGGGATCTGGGAAGGCACTCTGGGATCTCGGAACGCCGGGATCGGGCACGCTGGGATCTGGGATTGCTGGGATGTGGGAATGCCCTCCGGGACGTGGGAACGCTGGGATGTGGGAACGCTGGGATCTGGGAATGCCCTCTGGGATGTGGGAATGCCCTCTGGGATGTGAGAACGCCGGGATCTGGGATTGCCGGTATCTGGGAACGCCGGGATGTGGGAATGCCCTCCAGGATGTGGGAACGCTGGGATGTGGGAATGCCCTCCGGGACGTGGGAATGCCCTCTGGGACGTGGGAACGCCGGCATGTGGGCACGCCCTCTGGGACGTGGGAATGCCCTCCAGGACGTGGGAATGCCCTCCAGGATGTGGGAATGCCCTCCAGGACGTGGGAATGCCCTCCAGGATGTGGGCACGCCAGGATGTGGGAATGCCCTCTGGGACGTGGTGTGCACGCACCGTGCGGACGCGCCGTGGTGGTGATGATGTTGATGATGTTGATGGTGTTGATGATGTTGGTGGTGTTGGTGCACGGCGGCGGCTCCGGGCGCCGGGCTCTTCCCGGGCATTCCGGGTCCCCGGGAAGCGGCGGCCGTGGCCGTGGCCGAGGCCTCCTCGTCGCTGCCGCCGAAGCTGGTGATGAAGGTGATCTTCTCCTCCCGCCCCAGAGACGGCGTCCGAGAGCGAGAGCGAGACCCCGACGACGACTCCGACGGGGAACTGAAACGGGCAGGGGGAGGGATGGTCCAGGAGGGAATTCTGTGGGATTTGGGAAGGGGGGTGGGGGAAAGGGGCACTCACCGCTTGTAGGGGTCGTAGGTGGGGCTGTCCCGGCGGGCGTAGCTGAGGGAACAATGATGGGATCAGGATGGGGATCGGGATGGGGAGTGGGATTGGGGTGGGAGAGGGGCAGGAAATGGGAATTGGGGATGGAGGGGGACAGGGATGGATCCCAGGGGGACAGGGACGGATCCAAGGGGGATCCAAGGGGGATCCAAGGGGTATGAAGGGGATCCAAGGGGGACAGGGATGGATCCCAGGGAGATCCAAGGGGGACAGGGATGGATCCCAGGGGGACAGGGACGGATCCAAGGGGGATCCAAGGGGTATGAAGGGGATCCAAGGGGGACAGGGATGGATTTGAGTGGCTCAGGATGGATCCAAGGGGGACAGGGAGGGATCCAAGGATGGATCCAAGGGGGACAGGGATGGATTTGAGTGGCCCAGGACAGATCCAAGGGGGACAGGAATGGATCCAAGGGAGATGAGGGGGATCCAAGGGGGATGAGGGGGATCCAAGGGGGACAGGGAGGGATCCAAGGGGGACTGGGATGGATCCAAGGGGGGACAGGGATGGATCCAAGGGGGATCCAAGGGGGACAGGGATGGATTTGAGGGGCCCAGGACAGATCCAAGGGGGACAGGAATGGATCCAAGGGGGATGAGAGGGATCCAAGGGAGATCCAGCAGGGAGGATCCAAGGGGGACTAGGGATGGATCCAAGGGGGACTGGGATGGATCCAAGGGGGACAGGGATGGATCCAAGGGGGATCCAAGGGGGACAGGGATGGATTTGAGGGCCCAGGATGGATCCAAGGGACAGGGATGGATCCCAGGAGATCCAAGGGGGACAGGATGATCCAAGGGGATCCAAGGGACAGGATGGATCCCAGGGGGACAGGGATGGATTTGAGTGGCCCAGGATGGATCCAAGGGGGACAGGGATGGATCCCAGGGGGACAGGGATGGATTTGAGTGGCCCAGGATGGATCCAAGGGGGATTCAAATGGCCAGGGATAGATCCAAGGGGGATGAGGGGGATCCAAGGGGGACAGGGATGGATCCAAGGGGGATCCAAGGGGGACAGGGATGGATCCAAAGGGGATCCAAGGAGGACAGGATGGATCCCAGTCTCCAGGGCTGGATCCAGGGCTGGATCCCAGTATCCAGAAGGATCCCAGTCTCCATGGCTGGATCCCAGTGTCCCCCCCCAGCTCCCAGTGCCCCCCATCCCACCTGGGGGGGCTGATTTTCCGTCCCTTCAGGCGTTTCTCCCGGAATTCCCTCCTCTGCCGGCGGGAGCGGCGGCCCTGGGGGGGCACCCATGGCTTGGGGGAGGGGGCACAACAGGCAGGGACCCCCCCTGGGATTTGGGAACTCCCCCCAGGGATTTGGGACCCCCCCTCAGGGATCTGGGATCCCCCCCCAGGGATTTGGGATTCCCCCCCCTGGGATTTGGGAACTCCCCCCTAGGGATTTGGGACCCCCCTCCAGGGATTTGGGACCCCCCCCAGGAATTTGGGAAACCCCTCAGGAATTTGGGACCCCCCCTGGGATTTGGGAATCCCCCCCCAGGGATTTGGGAACCTCCCAGGGATTTGGGATCCTCCCCCCAGGGATTTGGGATCCCCCCCGAGGATTTGGGAATCCCCCTCAGGGATTTGGGATACCCCCCCAGGGATCTGGGATCCCCCCCCTGGGATTTGGGAACTCCCCCCTAGGGATTTGGGACCCCCCAAGGTTTTTGGGATCCCCCCTGAGGTTTTTGGGGTCCCCCAGTTTTGTGTCCCCCCCTGAGGATTTTTGGACCCTCCTGAGATGTTTTGGCCCCCCCTGAGGTTTTTGGGGCCCCCCTGAGGATTTTGGGCCCCCCCCCAGGGTTTTTGTGTCCCCCCCTGAAGTTTTTGGGGTCCCCCCTGAGATGTTTTGGGACCCCCTGAGGATTTCAGGGCTCCCCCCAGGGGTTTTTGGGGGCCCCCAAAGGCATTTTGGGACCCTCCTGAGGGTTTTGGGGCTCCCCCTCCAGTTTTTGTGTCTCCCCTGAGGTTTTTAGGACCCCCCCAAGGTTTTTGGGACCCCCCTGAAGTTTTTGGGGCCCCCCTGAGGTTTTTGGGGCCCCCCTGAGGATTTTGGGGTCCCCCCTGAGGTTTTTAGGACCCCTCTGAGGATTTTGGGGCCCCCAAAGGCATTTTTGGACCCTCCTGAGATGTTTTGGCCCCCCCTGAGGTTTTTGGGGTCCCCCCTGAGGATTTTGGGGTCCCCCCGAGGATTTTGGGGTCCCCCCTGAGTTTTTTGGGGTCCCCCTGAGGATTTTGGGCCCCCCCTCACCGAGTACATGGCCTTCTCCTCCTCCAAGGCTTTGGCATTTTTGATGGCCTCGGCCTCCTCCTTGTCCTTCCTCAGCATCCTGGGGGCAAGAAAAGCAAATTAAAATGAAATTAAAGAAGATAAAAAATAAAATGAAATAAAATAAAGTCAACTAAAATAAAATAAAGTGAAATAAAGTAAAATAAAAAGTGAAATAAAGCAAAAGGAAGGAAAAAAACCCCAGAAAAATAAACCAGAGGATAAGCAAATAAAGCTAAAACAAAGTAAAAATAAAATAATTTAAAGTAAAATAAATGATATGAAGTAAAATAAATGATATAAAGTAAACTGAATGAAAAGAAAACAAAACTAAGCTAAAACTGAAAAGAAAATAAAGCTAAAACAAAATAAAGTAAAAATAAAATAATTTAAAGTAAAATTAAAATTATATAAAGTAAAATAAATGATATAAAGTAAACTGAATGAAAAGCAAATAAAACAAAGCTAAAAGAAAATAAAAATAAAATAATTTAAAGTAAAATAAACGATATAAAGTAAACTGAATGAAAAGTAAATAAAACAAAACCAAAACAAAATGAAAATAAAATAATTTAAAGTAAAATAAATGATATAAAGTAAAATAAATGAAAATAAAGCTAAAACAAAATAAAAATAAAATAATTTAAAGTAAAATAAATGATATAAAGTAAAATAAATGATATAAAGTAAATTAAATGAAAAGCAAAATAAAAAAAAAAAATAAAATACAGCCAAATAAAATAAAAACCCAAAGTAGAATATAATTACAGGACACAAAAATAGAACAAAACTGAACAAAATAAAACACAGCGAAAGAAAATAAGATAAAAATAAAATGAAGCAAAATAAAAATGATGATAAAGGTAAAAATAAAGTAAAATAAAAAAAGAAGTAAAATGAGATAAAACAATGTAAGGTAAAAATAAGATAAAAATAAAATAAAATAAAATAAAATTAAAATAAAATAAATAAAATAAGAATAAAATAAAATAAAATAAAATAAAAATAAAATAAAAATAAAATAATAAAATAAAATAAAATAAAATAAAAATAAAATAAAATAATAAAATAAAATTAAATTAAAATAAAAATAAAATAAAAATAAAATAATAAAATAAAATAAAATAAAATAAAAATAAAATAAAATAATAAAATAAAATTAAAATAAAATAAAAATAAAATAAAATAAAAATAAAATAAAGTAAAAATAGAATAAAATAAAATAAAAATAAAATAAAAATAAAATAAAATATAAATAAAATAAAGTAAAAATAAAATAAAATAAAAATATAAAACAAAATAAAATAATAAAATAAAATTAAAATAAAATAAAAATAAAATAAAATAAAATCAGATGAAGTAAAATAAAGTGAGACACAGCAAAACAAAATAAAATAGAATAAAATACACTAAAGTAAAACAAAGCAAAATTAAATAAAATAAAGCAAAGCGAAACAAAATAAGTTAAGGTAAAATAAATTAAGGCAAAACAAACTAAAGCAAAATAAAATTTAAAAAAGGGGAATAAAGCAGGGAGTGCAGGAACCCAAAGGGAACCCAAAGGGAACCCACGGCCCGGCCCATCCCCACCTGACGAAATCTCCCTCGGCCATCCCGTAGGTCGTGGCCTGTTTGTTCAGATCCGCCACCTGCTCCTGGTTCAGCTCGTCCACGTCCACCTCCACGTCTGGGAACGGTGGAGCACGGAATTCCGCAATGTGGGAATGGGGGGGGATTTACAGCTATGTATCCCCAAATTCCCAACATCCCCAGCATTCCCGGGGATTTGGGAACGCGGGGATGGATCCAGCTCCATAGCCCGAAATTTCCACCATTCCATCCCCACCATTCCCAACATTCCCACCATTCCATCCCCAGGGATTTGGGAATGCGGGGGGGATCCAGCCCCATTCCCACCATCCCATCCCCAGGGATTTGGGAACAAGGTGGGGGAATTAAAGCTATGTACCCCCAAATTCCCAACATTCCATCCCCAGCATCCCCGGGGATTTGGGAACAGGGGGATGGATCCAGCCCCATATCCCGAAATTCCCACCATTCCATCCCCAGAGAGTTTGGAACATGGGGATGGATCCAGCCCCATTCCCACCATTCCATCCCCAGGGATTTGGGAACATGGGGATGGATCCAGTCCCATTCCCACCATCCCAGGGGATTCGGGAACGCGGGGATGGATCCAGCTCCGTACCCCCAAATTCCCAGCATTCCCAGCATCCCCGGGGATTTGGGAACAGGGGGATGGATCCAGCTCCATATCCCAAAATTCCCAGCATTCCCAGCATCCCCAGGGATTTGGGAACAGGGGGATGGATCCAGCTCTGTACCCCCAAATTCCCAACATTCCCAGCATTCCCGGGGATTTGGGAACAGGGGGATGGATCCAGCTCCGTACCCCGAAATTCCCACCATTCCATCCCCACCATCCCCACCATTCCCACCATTCCCAGGGATTCGGGAACGTGGGGATGGATCCAGCTCCGTATCCCGAAATTCCCAACATTCCATCCCCACCATTCCCACCATTCCCACCATTCCCACCATTCCCAGCATCCCCAGGGATTTGGGAACGCGGGGAGGGATCCAGCCCCATTCCCACCATCCCATCCCCAGGGATTTGGGAACAAGGGGGGGGGATTTACAGCTATGTACCCCCAAATTCCCAACATTCCATCCCCACCATCCCAGGGGATTCAGGAATGTGGGGATGGATCCAGCTCCATATCCCGAAATTCCCACCATTCCATCCCCGGGGATTTGGGAACAGGGGGATGGATCCAGCTCTGTACCCCCAAATTCCCACCATTCCATCCCCGGGGATTTGGGAATGCGGGGATGGATCCAGCTCCGTACCCCCAAATTCCCAACATTCCCAGCATCCCCGGGGATTTGGGAACAGGGGGATGGATCCAGCTCTGTACCCCCAAATTCCCAACATTCCCAGCATCCCCGGGGATTTGGGAATGCGGGGGTGGATCCAGCCCGCATCCCAAATTCCCAACATTCCCAGCATCCCCGGGGATTTGGGAACAGGGGGATGGATCCAGTCCCGTGCCCCAAAATTCCCACCATTCCCAGCATCCCCAGAGAGTTTGGAACATGGGGATGGATCCAGCCCCATTCCCAACATTCCCAGCATTGCTGGGGATTTGGGAATGTGGGGGTGGATCCAGCTCCATAGCCCGAAATTCCCATCATTCCCAGGAATTTGGGAACAGGGGGATGGATCCAGCCCCATTCCCACCATTCCATCCCCGGGGATTTGGGAACAGGGGGATGGATCCAGCCCCATTCCCACCATTCCATCCCCGGGGATTTGGGAACAGGGGGATGGATCCAGCCCCATTCCCACCATTCCATCCCAGGGGATTCGGGAATGTGGGGATGGATCCAGCTACGTACCCCCAAATTCCCAACATTCCCAGCATTCCCGGGGATTTGGGAATGTGGGGATGGATCCAGCCCCATAGCCTGATAGTCCCACCATTCCCTCCATTCCCAGAGAGTTGGGAACGTGGGGATGGATCCAGCTCCATAGCCCGATATTCCCACCACTCCCCCCATCCCCTCCATCCCCAGCATTCCCAACATTCCCACCATCCCCAGCATTCCCAGGGATTCAGGAACATGGGGATGGATCCAGCCCCATCCCCCGAAATTCCCATCATTCCATCCCCAACATTCCCGGGGATGCAGGAACAGGAGGATGGATCCAGCCCCATTCCCACCATCCCCACCATCCCATCCCCAGGGATTCAGGAACGCAGGGCTGGTTCCCTCATTCCCATCCCCATTCCCAGAATCCCCCCCATTCCCAGAATTCCCCATTCTCAGGATTCCAGAACACGGAATGATCCCCCCATTCCCAGAATTCCCCCATTCCCAGAATTCCCCCATTCTCAGAATTCCCCCCATCCCCAGAATTCCCCCTATTCCCAGAATTCTCCCATTCCAGGGACTCAGGACATGGCTTCCCCCCATTCCCAGCAATTCCCCCATTCCCAGAATTCCCCCATTCCCAGAATCCCCCCATTCCAGTACCGATGTCAGGGATCACTTCATCCTCGTCCGAGTTGGAATCCTCCTCGGAATCCTCGTCCTCCGCCCGCTTTTCCAGGGAATTCTCCAGCTCGGCCACGGTGCTGTCCTCGTAGGTGTAGCCGATGGAGGCTTTCTTCTCCGCCAGCCTGAGGGGAAATCCCGGGAATGCCTCGCTCCCAGCACTTTTCCCAAGGTTTGCCAGCCAGGACCTTCCCTTGGGAACGATCCCGGCCCTTTTCCTTGGATTTGAGGGGCAGGAACAGCCCCAAGTGAGGAAAACCCACCCTGGGAGAGGGAAAACCGGGAATGTCGGAGCAGGGGCCGTTCCAGAGGGCACATTCCCAGTACAGGATGTTCCCTTGGGAACGATCCCAGCCCTTCTCCCTGGATTTGAGGAGCACGAAGAGCCCCAAGTGGGGACAAACCCTTTTCCCTGGATTGGAGGAGTAGGAACAGCCCCAATTCCAGTCCTAGTTGGGGACAATCCCAACCAAAGGGCTCAATCCCAACTTGGAACAGGGAAATCCGGGAATTTCGGAGCAGGGGCCGTTCCAGAGGCTCTGGAGCCACATTCCCAGTACAGGACATTCCCTTGGGAATGATCCCAGCTCTTTTCCATGGATTTGAGGGGCAGGAACGGCCCCAAGTGGGGACAAACCACACTGGGAGAGGGAAAACTGGGAATGCCAGAGCAGGGGTCGTTCCAGAGGGCACATTCCCAGTACAGGACATTCCCTTGGGAACGATCCCAGCCCTTTTCTATGGATTTGAGGGGCAGGAAAAGCCCCAATTCCAGCCCTAGTTGGGGACAATCCCAACCAAGGGGCTCAATCCCAAGTTGGAACAGGGAAAACCGGGAATTTCGGAGCAGGGGCCGTTCCAGAGGCTCTGGAGCCACATTCCCAGCACGGGACATTCCCTTGGGAAGGATCCAAGCCCTTTTCCGTGGATTTGAGGGGCAGGAATGGCCCCAATTCCAGCCCAAAGTGGGGACAAACCACCCTGGGAGAGGGAAAACCGGGAATGCCGGAGTAGGGGCCGTTCCAGAGGGCACATTCCCAGCACAGGACGTTCCCTTGGGAATGATCCCAGCCCTTTTTCCTTGGATTTGAGGGGCAGGAACGGCCCCAAGTGAGGGAAAACCCACCCTGGGAGAGGGAAAACTGGGAATGCCAGAACAGGGGCCATTCCAGAGGCTCTGGAGCCACATTCCCAGCACGGGACATTCCCTTGGGAACGATCCAAGCCCTTCTCCATGGATTTGAGGGGCAGGAACAGCCCCAATTCCAGCCCAATGTGGGGACAAACCACACTGGGAGAGGGAAAACTGGGAATGCCGGAGTAGGGGCCGTTCCAGAGGCCCTGGAGCCACATTCCCAGTACAGGACATTCCCTTGGGAAGGATCCAAGCCCTTCTCCCTGGATTTGAGGGGCAGGAACGGCCCCAATTCCAGCCCTGGTTGGGGACAATCCCAACCAAGGGGCTCAATCCCAACCCTGGGAGAGGGAAAACTGGGAATTTCGGAGCAGGGGTTGTTCCAGAGGCTCTGGAGTCACATTCCCAGCACAGGACATTCCCTTGGGAACAATCCCAGCCCTTCTCCCTGGATTTGTGGGGCAGGAACAGCCCCAAGTGAGGAAAAACCCACCCTGGGAGAGGGAAAACCGGGAATGCCGGAGCAGGGGCCGTTCCAGAGGGCACATTCCCTTGGGAAGGATCCAAGCCCTTTTCCCTGGATTTGTGGGGCAGGAATGGCCCCAATTCCAGCCCAAAGTGGGGACAAACCACACTGGGAGAGGGAAAACCGGGAATGCCGGAGCAGGGGCCGTTCCAGAGGGCACATTCCCAGTACAGGATGTTCCCTTGGGAAGGATCCCAGCCCTTTTCCATGGATTTGAGGGGCAGGAACTGCCCCAATTCCAGCCCAATGTGTGGACAAACCACACTGGGAGAGGGAAAACTGGGAATGCCGGAGCAGGGGCCGTTCCAGAGGCTCTGGAGCCACATTCCCAGCACAGGACATTCCCTTGGGAAGGATCATTCCCTTTTTTTATCTCCCACCCTGGATCTGAGGGGCAGGAAGAGCCCCAATTCCAAGAAGATTCCCTCCAATGTGGGGACAATCCCAACCGAGGGGCTCAATCCCAACCCTGGGAGAGGGAAATCCGGGAATTTCGGAGCAGGGGCCGTTCCAGAGGCCCTGAAATTCCCTGGAATTCCCTCTCCCAGGAATATTTTCCCCACTCACTTCTTCTTCTCCTCCTCGTTGGGTTTCTGGAGGCCCCCGTAGAGCTCGTCGATGTAGATCTGGTACAGGCACTGCTCCTCCGAGACTGAGAGAGCCATTAACCAATTAATTAACCCCTTAATTAACCCCGGGGGGGCCCAAGGGGGTGGAATTCCCGCTGGGAATGCTGGGGAAGGGGGAAAGGGGGGCACTCACTGCCAGCAAAGTCGTTCTGCACCAGCCCCCGGTAGCGCTCGTAGTTGCATTTACGCTCGTCCGACTCCTGCTCCGGGGAGCTGGAATGGCAGGGAAAAATGGGATTTAGGGGGAAAATGGATTTGGGGGGAAAATGGGATTTGGGGGTTAAGTGGGGTTTGGGGGTTAAATGATTTGGGGGAAAATGGGATTTGGGGGAAAATGATTGGGGGAAAATGATTTGGGAGGGGAATGATTTGGGAAAATGGGATTTGGGGGGAAAATGGGATTTGGGGGAAATGGGATTTGGGGGTTAAATTGGGATTTGGGAATGGGATTTGGGGGAAATTGGGATTTGAGGTGAGGTAGATTTTGAGAGTTAAATGTGGATTTGGGAGGTTAAATGGGATTTGGGGGAAAATGGGATTTGGGGGAAAATGGGATTTGGGGGGAAATGGGATTTGGGGGGAAAATGGGATTTGGGGGTTGAGTGTGGATTTGGGGGTTAAATGGGATTTGGGGGTTAAATGTGGGATTTCAGAGGGTCAGACAGGGATTTTGGGGGTTAAATGTGGATTTTCAGGGGAAATGTGGATTTTGGGGGTTAAATGTGAATTTGGGGGATAAATGGGGATTTGGGGGAAAATTGGGATTTGGGGGAAAATGGGATTTGGGGGAGGGAATTGGGGATTTGGGGGAAAATTGGGATTTGGGGGTTAAATGGGATTTGGGGGAAAATGGGATTTGGGGGGGAAAATGGGATTTGGGGGAAAATGGATTTGGGGGAAATGGGATTTGGGGGGAAAATGGGATTTGGGGGGGAAAATGGGATTTGGGGGGGAAAATGGGACTGGGGAAATGGAGGAACGGTCCTGGGTGAGGGAAAACCCACCCTGGGAGAGGGAAAACTGGAATGCCAGAACAGGGGCCATTCCCAGAGGCTCTGGAGCCACATTCCCAGCACGGACATTCCTCGGGAATCGCATCCCGGCCCTTCTCCAGGATTTTGAGGGGCAGGAACAGCCCCAAGTGGTGAGGACAAACCCACCCTGGGGAGGGAAACTGGGAATGCCGGAGCAGGGGCCGTTCCAGAGGGCACATTCCCAGTACAGGACATTCCCTTGGGAATGATCCCAGCTCTTTTCCATGGATTTGAGGGGCAGGAAAAGCCCCAACCCAGCCCTGGCTGGGGACAATCCCAACCAAGGGGCTCTAATCCCAACCCTGGGAGAGAGGGAAAACTGGGAATGTCGGAGCAGGGGCCGTTCCAGAGGCGCACATTCCCAGCAGGACATTCCCTTGGGAACGATCCCAGCCCTTTTCCATGGATTTGAGGGGCAGAACAGCCCCAGCTGCGGAATATCCCACCTCTGGGATGAGGGACAATCCGGGAATGCTGGAGCAGGGCCGATCCATTCCCTCCCAGTTCTTCTCCCCTGGATTTGAGGGGCAATCCCAACCAAGGGGGACAACCCGTGGGAGAGGGAAAACCGGGAATGCCGGAGCAGGGACCGTTCCAGAGGGCACATTCCCAGTACAGGACGTTCCCTTGGGAATGATCCCAGCCCTTTTCCATGGATTTGAGGGGTAGGAACTGCCCCAATTCCAGCCCAATGTGGGGACAACCCACCCTGGGAGAGGGAAAACCAGGAATGCCGGAGCAGGGGCTGTTCCAGAGGCTCTGGAGTCACATTCCCAGTACAGGACATTCCCTTGGGAAGGATCATTCCCTTTTTTTATCTCCCACCCTGGATCTGAGGGGCAGGAAGAGCCCCAATTCCAAGAAGATTCCAGCCCATTCTGGGGACAATCCCAACCGAGGAGCTCAATCCCAACCCTGGGAGAGGGAAATCCGGGAATTTCGGAGCAGGGGCCGTTCCAGAGGCCCTGAAATTCCCTGGAATTCCCTCTCCCAGGAATATTTTCCCCACTCACTTCTTCTTCTCCTCCTCGTTGGGTTTCTGGAGGCCCCCGTAGAGCTCGTCGATGTAGATCTGGTACAGGCACTGCTCCTCCGAGACTGAGAGAGCAATTAACCAATTAATTAACCCCTGAATTAACCCTGGGGGCCCAAGTGGGTGGAATTCCCGCTGGGAATGCTGTGGGAAGGGGAAAGGAGGCACCCACTGCCAGCAAAGTCGTTCTGCACCAGCCCCCGGTAGCGCTCGTAGTTGCATTTACGCTCGTCCGACTCCTGCTCCGGGGAGCTGGGAATGGCAGGGAAAAATGGGATTTGGGGGAAATGGGATTTGGGGGGAAATGGGATTTGGGGAAATGGGATTTGGGGGAAATGGGATTTGGGGGAAAATGGGATTTGGGGGGAAATATGGGATTTGGGGGGGAAAATGGACTTGGGGAAAAATGGGATTTGGGGGGGAATGGGATTTGGGGGAAATTGGAATTTGGGAGGTTAAATTGGGATTTGGGGGGGAATAGATTTGGGGAAATGGATTGGGGGAAATGGATTTGGGGGAAATGGGATTTGGGGGGAAAATGGGATTTGGGGGAAAATGGGATTTGGGGGAAATGGGATTTGGGGGGTAGATTGGATTTGAGGGGGTAAATGTGGATTTGGGGGTTAAAATGTGGGATTTGGGAGACGGGATTTTGGGGGGAATGGGATTTGTGGGTTAAATGTGGGATTTGGGGGTTAAATGGGATTTGGGGGGATTTGGGGAATGGGATTGGGGGTTAAATTGGGTGGGATTTGGGGGAAAATGGGATTTGGGGGGAAATGTTTGGGATGGTTGGGGGAAAATGGGATTTAGGGGGAAAATGGGATTTGGGGGGAAATGGGATTTGGGGGGGAAATGGGATTTGGGGGAAAATGGGATTTGGGGGAAATGGGATTTGGGGGAAAATGGGATTTGGGGGAAATGGGATTTGGGGGAAAAATGCGGATTTGGGGTAAATGTGGATTGGGGGGTGGAATATGGGATTGGGGGTAAATGATTTGGGGGAAATTGGGGATTTGGGGGAAAATGGGATTTGGGGGAAAATGGGATTGGGGAAATGGGATTAAGGATTTGGGAGTTTGGGGGAAATTGGGATTTGGGGGGTAAGGGGGTTTGGGGGTTAAATTGGGATTTCAGAGGGTCAGACAGGGATTTTGGGGGTTAAGTGTGGATATTCAGGGGTTAAATGTGGATTTTGGGGGAAAATGGGATTTGGGGGGTTAAGTGTGGAATTTGGGGGGTTAAATTGGGATTTGGGGGAAAATGGTATTTGGGGGGGAAATTGGGATTTGGGGAGAAAATGGGATTTGGGGGAAAATGGATTTGGGGGAAATTGGGATTTGGGGGGGGAAAATGGGATTTGTGGGGGGGAATGTGGGATTTGGGGGGTTAAATGTGGGATTTCAGAGGGTCAGACAGGGATTTTGGGGGGTTAAATGGGGATTTTGGGGGGTTAAATGTGATCTTTTGTTTTGTTTTTTTTCCTTCCCTTCCACTTTAATTCTGGAATATTCCCAGTGGGATTTTCCCAGGGATTCTTCGGGAAATCTGCACTCACAGGGCGCCTCCAGAAGAGGTTTTGGGATGGGGTTTGGGACCCCCAAACTTTGCTGGGATGGGGTTTTTTTTCCCTCCTATTTTAACTCCGGAATATTCCCAACTCTGGGATCTCAGAGCTGCCCAATCCCATGGGATTTTCCCAGGGGAATTCCCGGGAATGCTGCACTCACGTGGGTCTCAGCAGGGCCGGGGATGGGGTTTGGGACCCCCAAACTCTGCTGGGATGGGGTTTTTTTTCCTCCTATTTTAACTCTGGAATATTCCCGGCTGTGGGACCCCAAATCCCGTGGGATTTTCCCAGGGGAATTCCCGGGAATGCTGCACTCACTGGGTCCAGAAGGACCTGGGATGGGGTTTGGGACCCCTGGAGTTTCCTGGAATTGAGGGGTTTTTTCCCTCCTATTTTAACTCTGGAATATTCCCAGCTGTGGGACCCCAAATCCCGTGGGATTTTCCCTGGAATTCCCGGGAATGCTGCACTCACGTGGGGCTCAGCAGGGCCGGGGTGTACATGGGGATGAAGTCGAGGTGGGCGCGGACATCGAAGCGGTCGATCATGTTGTTGGTGTCCCCCTGCCAGGGCATCCTGCCGGGAAAAAACGGGATCCTCTGGATCCACCGGAGCGGGAACGGCCCCTGGGATGGGGCAGGAACCCCTGGGATGGGGCAGAAACCCCTGGGATGGGGCAGGAACCCCTGGGATGGGGCAGGAACCCCTGGGATGGGCACAGGAACCCCTGGATGGGGCAGAACCCCTGGGATGGGGCAGGAACCCCTGGGATGGGAACAGGAACCTCTGGAATGGGCACAGGAACCCCCTGGGATGGGGCAGGAACCCCTGGGATGGGCACAGGAACCCCTGGGATGGGCACAGGAACCCCTGGGATGGGCACAGGAACCCCCTGGGATGGGGCAGGAACCCCTGGGATGGGGCAGGAACCCCTGGGATGGGCACAGGAACCCCTGGGATGGGCACAGGAACCCCTGGGATGGGCACAGGAACCCCTGGGATGGGCACAGGAACCCCTGGAATGGGGCAGGAACCCCTGGGATGGGGCAGGAACCCCTGGGATGGGGACAGGAATCCCTGGATGGGCACAGGAACCCCTGGGATGGGCACAGGAACCCCTGGGATGGGCACAGGAACCCCTGGGATGGGCACAGGAACCCCTGGGATGGGGCAGGAACCCCTGGGATGGGGCAGGAACCCCTGGGATGGGCACAGGAACCCCTGGGATGGGCACAGGAATCTCTGGGATGGGCACAGGAATCTCTGGGATGGGGCAGGAACCCCCTGGGATGGGTCCAGGAACCCCTGGGATGGGCACAGGAACCCCAGGGATGGGCACAGGAACCCCTGGGATGGGCACAGGAACCCCCTGGGATGGGCACAGGAACCCCTGGGATGGGCACAGGAACCCCTGGGATGGGGCAGGAACCCCTGGGATGGGCACAGGATCCCCTGGGATGGGCACAGGAACCCCTGGGATGGGCACAGGAACCCCTGGGATGGGCACAGGAACCCCTGGGATGGGCACAGGATCCCCTGGGATGGGCACAGGAACCCCCTGGGATGGGCACAGGAACCCCTGGGATGGGGCAGGAACCCCTGGGATGGGCACAGGGCACAGGAACCCCTGGGATGGGCACAGGAACCCCTGGGATGGGCACAGGAATCTCTGGGATGGGGCAGGAACCCCCTGGGATGGGCACAGGAACCCCTGGGATGGGGCAGGAACCCCTGGGATGGGTACAGGAACCCCTGGGATGGGCACAGGAACCCCTGGGATGGGGCAGGAACCCCTGGGATGGGCACAGGAACCCCTGGGATGGGCACAGGAACCCCTGGGATGGGCACAGGAACCCTGGGATGGGGCAGGAACCCCTGGGATGGGCACAGGAACCCCTGGGATGGGCACAGGAACCCTGGGATGGGCAAAGGAACCCTGGGATGGGCACAGGAACCCCTGGGATGGGGCAGGAACCCCTGGGATGGGCACAGGAACCCCTGGGATGGGCACAGAACCCCTGGGATGGGCACAGAACCCCTGGGATGGGCACAGAACCCCTGGGATGGGCACAGGAACAACCCCCACCCCCCCAAATCCCTCCTCATGGCCCCCCGACTCCCTCAGATTCCCAAGGGATTCCCATCAATTCCTCAAGGGATTCCCACAAATTCCCCAGGGATTCCCACAAATTCCTCAAGGGATTCCCTCGAATTCCCAAGGGATTCCTATAAATTCCCCAAGGGATTCCCACAAATTCCTGGCTGTTTACCCCTCCCTGAAATTCCCCAGGGATTCCCACAGAATTCCCAAGGGATTCCCTCAAATTCCCGGTTGTTTCCCCTCCTCCCCGAATTCCCAAGGGATTCCCACAAAATCCTGTTTCCCCCCCCCCCCGAATTCCTCAGGGATTCCCCCCAAATTTCCAAGGGATTCCCACAAATTTCCAGCGGTTTCCCCCTTCCCAAATTCCCAACTTTTTCCCCCAAATTCTCAACCGATTCCCCCCCGGGATTCCCGACTGATCATCCTGAACTCCCAGCTAATTCCCAACTGATTCCCCCAAATTCCCAACTGATTCCTGACTCTCCCCCCTCACTCTCAACTGCTTCCCCCTCATTCCTGAGTTATCCCGTGGCATTCCCGAGTTATCCCATGGCATTCCCGAGTGCTCCCCTGGGCATTCCCAAGCTCTCCCATTGCCATTCCCGGTCTCTCCCCATGTCATTCCCAGTCTCTCCCATATCATTCCCAGTCTCTCCCATTGTCATTCCCACTGTCATTCCCAGTCTCTCCTGTGTCATTCCCAAGCTCTCCCTTTCTCATTCCTGGCTTATCCCACAGCATTCCCCACTGTTCCTGTGTCATTCCCAGTCTCTCCTGTGTCATTCCCAGGCTCTCCCACTGCCATTCCCAGTCTCTCCCATTGTCATTCCCAGGTTATCCCATGTCATTCCCAGTCTCTCCTGTGCCATTCCCAGGCTCTCCCTTTGTCATTCCTGGCTTATCCCACAGCATTCCCCATTGTTCCTGTGTCATTCCCAGTCTCTCCCCATGTCATTCCCAGTCTCTCCCATTGTCATTCCCAGTCTCTCCCATATCATTCCCAGGTTATCCCATGGTCATTCCCAGTCTCTCCCGTGTCATTCCCGGTCTCTCCTGTGTCATTCCTGGGTTATCCCACAGCAGTCCCAGTCTCTCCCATTGTCATTCCCAGGTTATCCCATGCCATTCCCAGTCTCTCCTGTGTCATTCCCATTGTCATTCCCGAGCTCTCCCTGGGCATTCCCAAGTGTTCCCACAGCATTCCCAGTCTCTCCCATTGTCATTCCCGGTCTCTCCTGTGTCATTCCTGTGTCATTCCTGGTCTCTCCCTGTGTCATTCCCAGGTTATCCCACAGCATTCCCAGTCTCTCCTGTGTCATTCCCCAGGTTATCCCATGGTCATTCCCAGTCTCTCCCATATCATTCCCAATGTCTCCCATGTCATTCCCAGTCTCTCCCGTGTCATTCCTGAGCATTCCCTGGGCATTCCCAAGTGTTCCCACAGCATTCCCAGGCTCTCCCATTGTCATGTCCCAGTCTCTCCCATGTCATTCCCATTGTCATTCCCGAGCTCTCCCTTTCTCATTCCTGACTTATCCCACAGCATTCCCCACTGTTCCCATTGCCATTCCCAGTGTTCCCATTGCCATTCCCAGGCTATCCCACAGCATTCCCAGGTGTTCCCAGTGCCATTCCCAGTGTTCCCATGGTCATTCCCAGTGTTCCCATTGCCATTCCCAGTGTTCCCAGTGCCATTCCCAGTGTTCCCATGGTCATTCCCAGTGTTCCCAGTGCCATTCCCAGTGTTCCCATTGCCATTCCCAGTGTTCCCAGTGCCATTCCCACTGTTCCCATTGCCATTCCCAGTGTTCCCATTGCCATTCCCAGTGTTCCCAGTGCCATTCCCAGTGTTCCCAATGCCATTCCCAGTGTTCCCGTGGTCATTCCCAGTGTTCCCAGTGCCATTCCCGGTGTTCCCAGTGCCATTCCCAGTGTTCCCATTGCCATTCCCGGTGTTCCCAGTGCCATTCCCAGTGTTCCCATTGCCATTCCCAGTGTTCCCAGTGCCATTCCCAGTGTTCCCATTGCCATTCCCAGTGTTCCCAGTGCCATTCCCAGGCTATCCCACAGCATTCCCAGTGTTCCCAGTGCCATTCCCAGTGTTCCCAGTGCCATTCCCAGTGTTCCCATTGCCATTCCCAGTGTTCCCAGTGCCATTCCCAGTGTTCCCATTGCCATTCCCAGTGTTCCCATTGCCATTCCCAGTGTTCCCATGGTCATTCCCAGTGTTCCCAGTGTCATTCCCAGTGTTCCCATGGTCATTCCCAGTGTTCCCATTGCCATTCCCAGGCTATCCCACAGCATTCCCAGTGTTCCCAGTGCCATTCCCAGTGTTCCCAGTGCCATTCCCAGTGTTCCCATGGTCATTCCCAGTGTTCCCAGTGCCATTCCCAGTGTTCCCATTGCCATTCCCAGTGTTCCCAGTGCCATTCCCAGTGTTCCCATGGTCACTCCCAGTGTTCCCAGTTCCACTCCCAGTGTCTCCCATTGCCATTCCCAGTGTTCCCATGGTCATTCCCAGTGTTCCCATTGCCATTCCCAGTGTTCCCAGTGCCATTCCCAGTGTTCCCAGTGCCATTCCCAGTGTTCCCAGTGCCATTCCCGTGGGAATTCCTCACATGTTGACGGGGCTCTCTGCCGCCAGGGCCACGGCCGAGTCCAGGTGCACTTTGCAGGCGCGGCCGTGAACCTGCAGGAACTGAGCCGGGTCCTTTTTCTGGGAAAAACACCCGGAAAAACGGAGGGGACGTGAGGGAAAACGGAAGGGATGATCCCAGAGAACCCCAGACTGGGACAGGGAGCCCCCAAATATCCCAAAAACCTTCCCAAACTGGGATAGGGAGTCCTAAATTGGGAGAGGGAGCCCCAAATATCCCAAAAACCTTCCCAAACTGGGAGAGGGAGTCCTAAATTGGGAGAGGGAGCCCCCAAACTGGGAGAGGGAGCCCCCAAACTGGGAGAGGGAGCCACAAACTGGGAGAGGGAGCCACAAACTGGGAGAGGGAGCCACAAACTGGGAGAGAGAGCCCCCAAACTGGGAGAGGGAGCCCCCAAATATCCCAAAGACCTTCCCAAACCGGGAGAGGGAGCCCCAAACCGGGAGAGGGAGCCCCAAATCGGGCCAAGGACCTCCCAAACTGGGAGAGGGAGCCACAAATCGGGACAAGGACCCCTCAAACCGGGTCAAGGACCCCCCAAACCAGGATAGAGATCCCCCAAATCGGGTCAAGGTCCCCCCAAAGTGGGACAAGGGCCCCCCAAACCGGGACCCCCCAAACAGGGACAGGGACCCCCAAAACCGGGACAGGGACCCCCCAAACTGGGACAAGGACCCCCCAAACTGGGACAGGGACCCCCCAAACCGGGACAGGGGCCCCCCAAACCAGGCCAGGGACCCCCCAAACTGGGTCAAGGACCTCTCAAAGTGGGACAAGGGCCCCCCAAACCGGGACCCCTCAAACCGGGACAGGGACTCCCCAAACAGGGACAGGGACCCCTCAAACCAGGTCAAGCCCCCCCTAAACAGGGAGAGGAACCCCTCCAAACCGGGACAGGGATCCCCAAACTGGGACCCCCCCAAATTGGGTCAAGCCCCCCCCAAACAGGGACAGGGACCCCCCCAAGTCAGACCAAGGACCCTCCAAATCGGGTCAAGGACCCCCCAAAGCGGGACAGGGACCCCCAAACCGGGCCAGGGACCCCCCCAAATCGGGTCAAGCCCCCCCTAAACAGGGAGAGGGACCCCCCAAACTGGGACAGGGACCCCCCAAACAGGGACAAGGACCCCCCAGACCGGGACAGGGACCCCCCTAAACTGGGACAGGGACCCCCTAAATCGGGTCAAGCCCCCTCTGAACAGGGAGAGGGACCCCCCAAACCGGGCCAGGGACCCCCCAAACCGGGACAGGGACCCCCCAAACAGGGCCAGGGACCCCCCAAACTGGGACAGGGATCCCCCAAATTGGGCCAAGCTCCCCCCCAAACCGGGACAGGGACCCCCCAAACAGGGCCAGGGACCCCCCAAACTGGGACAGGGACCCCCTAAATCGGGTCAAGCCCCCCCTAAACAGGGACCCCCAAACTGGGACAAAGACCTCCCAAATCGGGTCAAGGACCCCAAACCGGGCCAGGGACCCCCCAAACCGGGACAAAGACCCCCCAAATCGGGCCAAGCTCCCCCCAAACAGGGACAGGGACCCCCCCAAGTCAGACCAAGGACCCTCCAAATCAGGTCAAGGACCCCCCAAAGCGGGACAGGGACCCCCCAAATTGGGCCAAGCTCCCCCCCAAAGCGGGACAGGGACCCCCTAAACAGGGCCAGGGACCCCCCAAACAGGGACAGGGACCCCCAAACCAG